AGAGCGTGGGTCTTTGTCATTCTTGGATTTATCAATTCAATCATTCATTCGTCTATTCTGTGTCTGTGTATAGGATTGCCAGATTTAGGAAAAATAGATGTGGGCTGCCCAATTACATTTGAACTATTTGTCTGAAACCTAGATTTAACTGGGCATCTTGTTTTGTTCGTTTTTGCTAAATTTGGCAACCCTAAATACATCCTTGGTGCCTACTGAGTCCTAGATGCTCGGGAGAGGAGCAGAAACACGCTGGCCCATCCGGAGCTGTGGCCCAACCCTAGCGAGTTCAGTGAACTCAGAGCTCCTGGCGGGGACCAGGGAATGCTTGCTCAGTGCACAGTGCTCACTGGCGGCAGCGGGGGGAGGGGGGACGGCTGTTCAAACACAGCTTGTTGGGCGCTGTGGGGCCTGGGGCTCCTGTCTTCACGTGGCAGGTGCATTTGTCCCAACCCCCAAATCTGAAGGCCCTGGAAACAGCAGAGAGTGACCTGCCCTCACTGGTGCTCCAGGGGGCTGGGAGCTTCAGGGGGGCTGAGTACTTCTGAGCATCCTTTTGGGACAGAAGTGTTGGAAAGTAACCTTGGGGGCAGGTGGAGAGTGTGCAGCCCAGGGAGCCCCTGGGACCTCCGCTCATGGAGTCTGGTTTGTTCTAGGGTCCCCTGGGTAAACCGGGCCTCCCAGGAACGCCCGGTGCTGACGGACCCCCGGTGAGTAGCCCTGCCCTCCTCGCCCCGTCTCACGCACGCCGCCTCTGCCCCAGGGGTGGGGGCTGGGAACCCCGGCCACCCGCCACCTCCCTGGCTCTGGGGACAGTGACGTGTGTGTGGCCTTCCTTCACTGCCTTCCAACTGCCCCGGTGAAGACCCGTTTGCGAACTCGAGCTGCATTGCTCAGGAAATCACGGGGTTTTGGACACGCTTCCCACAACGTGCTTCGCGAAGGGTGCCGGCTGCGTGGACGGGAGCATTAGTTGTACGTCAGGCTGTGCGTTTGATTAGTGGAACGCGGCCTTGCGTTGAGTGTGAGGAGGGCTGGGCTGGGCTCCAAGCGCTCGCATGTGTCACCGGTGTGTGAGGGGAGGGCGGTGTGCACAGAGTATATTTTTAGGGATCACACGCTGGGGAGGGAGGGCAGTGAGCAAACACGTTTGCAATGTGCGAACACAGCTGTGGAGCCAAACTGGGTGCCGCCTAGAAATAGCGAGTTAGTGACAAACCCAATCTGTGTGCAGGGAGAGGTGTGGGCCAGTGACAGGCGCTCTGAGCCCGTGGGGGGCGTCGGGGTGTGACGGTTTATCGCCCCCGTCGTCCTCTTTGTAAGTTGCTGGTGAGTTTTCTGTGATTTTTGAAGAGTGTTCAGTTGGTGATGCAGAGAGCCTGGTTCAGAAAGCAAGACTAGCCGGGTGCGTTATCTCAGACCCACAGTGTGTTTCTCTGCGTTGACAACGCCACTCAGAACCGAGCGGGAGTTTAGATACGTCGATAACGGATCGGTGTCTGTTGAACCATCGCTCTGTGCTCATGGCCGAGAGCTGTTGGGTCTAGGGAGTCACAGGTGGCCAGTTGTCCCCTCTTATCGGAACCAGCAGACTCTGACTACGTCCGTGCCCACGGGAACCGCTTGGCGGCTCTGTCCCCTAGACTTCTGGGAGCTTGGACACAAAGCGATGAATATTTTGCAACATGTCACTTATGTCCTTAAATCGCATTTTCTAATTATAAAATAGCATATCTTGTTACGGAAAATTAGGAAAATAAATGAAAAGACACCAATATGACGATCACCCCGCGCCCAGCCCCCGAGGTCCCCTGCTGGGGGCCGTGGATGTGCGTTCTTCCGGTCATTTCTTTCCATTAACTTCCGGGAATGTTTAATGGAAACGGAGCATTTCCCACCAGGTGTCAAGTCAGGGGCCAGGCCCTGTGGGACGGGGACGGGGACGGTGCGTGGGAGTGGAGCGGGGGCTGCCCGCGCCTCAGCGGTTCCACCCGGGACCCCCGTCCCCACACTGACACCTCCAAGGCCCTGGGTCCCTGACGAGCCACCGGTTCCCTTGCAGATGCTGTGGGCAAACGGGCTTTCCGATGCCCCTGGCCGGGGGCTGGTAGGCAGGACCGAGAGAACTGAAAAGAGCACACGCGGCCCATGTACGCAGCGGAGACGTGCGTGGGTCTCCGGAGCACTGCCACGTTCTAGAAACGCAGTCTTGGGTCCTCAGAATGCTCAAGCCGAAAGAGCTCCCAGCCCTCCCTCTCGTTTTGTGGGGCGGGGGGTGGAAGGGGCACCCCAGAGAGGCAAGCAGCTCGCCCAAGGTCGCACAGTGGGTTGGGCGTAACTAGGAGCAGAGTCAGGAGCTGTCAGCACTCACCGCACCACGTGACGCTTTCCACTGGAACCCTCGGGGGTGGCGCTGCGCTTCCAGACGGCTTTACCTTTCCGCTTGTATCGTTGATGTTGGGTCAAGCCCAGTGAGCGGCCTGGGGTGGGAAGTCAGAGGGGCTGGGGGCACGGGGCAGTAACCAAGGCGCCCCGGCCATTTCTGCTGGGCCTCCGCTCCGCATCTGTGGCGTGGGGTGAAGTCCCCGCTCCCCCAACCCCTCTCCACATGCATCGCCCGGGCAGGCGGAGGGGTCGAAGCACCAGCACGAAGACCTGGGAAGGTGCTGGGACCCTTGGTCGAGTGACGGGACGTGGCTCTCCGCCCGGCACCAGCCTTGCCTGTCTCCGCGTCCCCGGCAGCGGAGACTGTGACCTGCAGGCAGCACCCGGTCACCAGCCGAGGAAGCGGGGCGCCAGCCCAGGAAGTGGGGCGCCTGCCCGGTGCTCTGGCCCCACACTGCTCTGCCCCTTGCTCGGCCACAGATCCATTTTGGGGGACCTGGAGCAAATGCCTCACCGTCGCTGTCCCCACTGCCCGTAGTTGGGTTGGGTGACACTGGCTCACAGTCGTGCCAGGAGCCCACCTATGGCTTTGGCAGCGTGTCCCCCCTCCTCTCTGTGGTCAGTTCCGGCCATTGGCCGGGCCTGGGGTTATTCCCGCTTTTCAGGTGGAGCGGCTGAGGGTCCGGGACTAAAGGATGAGTAAGGCCACCTGGCCAGGCCCGACCGAGTGTGCTCAGCTGTCCGTCATCTTCCAGCACGCCCCGTTTTTGTTTTTGTGGGGAGGGAGGAGATGGGAGGAACCCCCGCTCCCGTTCTCACGTCGTAAGCTGCTTGGTGGGTGAGCGTCAGGGGGCCTGCTTTGAGTGGCCCCTGGCTGACGCAGGCCTTCTCTCTCCTGACAGGGGCACCCTGGCAAAGAAGGCCCTCCGGGAGAGAAGGGAGGCCAGGTGAGTACCCCGCGCCCCTGCTGCTCCAGTGTCCCCTGGGGGCCAGCTTGCAGCCCCGCTCTGCTCTGGGACACCCGCCCAGAAGGGAGTGAGCAGAGGCAGTGTGCCCTTCTTCGGGTGGCCCTGCCGAGGGGACACCCCACGGAGAAGCTGGGTCCTTCCATTCCATCTGGGTCCCTGGACGCGCCCCCCCCCAATTTCTGCACACGGGGTGCAGGTGCAGCCCGACCTTGGCCAGGCAGGAACTGGGTGACCGTGCAGGCTCTGGGCCAAGGTCCTCCTGACCCATGGCCATTGTGTGTTTGGGGCCCAGGACTGGGGGGTTGGAGCTGGTTCTGGTTTCCAGGTGACCTGAGCCCCTGGGGACTTGCCTGCCGCACTGTCCGTGACAGAAGTCCACTGCTGCCTCCGTTTCTCCTCCTGGGCTCCCCAGGCCACGCGTGCTCCCAGCAGCCGTGGGCAGCCGCTGGCCGGCGGCGCATTCCTTCAGTGGCAGCTCAGCCCTTCCAAGCGCCAGAGTCCTCCTTCCCCTCCCCACTCCCCGCACCCCATGCATGAATCACGCGGCGTGACCTTCAGGTAGCCGGGTCACGGGTATTCCACTTGTCATGGGACGCCACCTGTGCCCTGCCTTGCTGCGGGGCTGGGTACAGTGCCTGCGGGAGTCTGACCCAGGATGCCCTCTCTGCTTGTAGCAAGAGGGGAGTCTGCTGGCAGGCCAGGGCTCGTGCCGGCCAGACCAGGAGTGGACCAGGCCTTCCCATGCCGCCCTCTTGGGTGGGCTAATGCTCTTTCTCCTCTGGTTCCAGGGCCCACCTGGCCCGCAGGGCCCGATCGGCTACCCGGGACCGCGAGGAGTCAAGGTGAGCTGCTTGCCACTGCGGGTCCTCCTGGAGGTCAGGGTTGGGACTGCGGGCCTCCAGCTTTCGGGAACCCTTCTGTGGCCTGAGCCAGGTCGGGGCTGGGGGGGAGAGTGACCAGCTGGAGCCAGGAGGGGCTGATTTGGAGCAGGGAACAATCCCCGGTGCATCTGTGACAGTGCACAGGCACCCTCTGCCTCATGCTGCCTTTACTGCTACCACGTTCAAGCTTCCAACTGCTCTGCAAAGCCCCTGAGGACGGTGCCCTCAGCCGGGGAGCAGAGCCCGGCATTTCTTTCTGGGGCCATTTCGTCTGGGCCATTTGCTTATTCGAGTGAGAAAGTCTGGCCCCATTGACCGCCTCTGGGCAGGCGGAGGCTGGGAACATGCGCCAGTGGAGGGGTCCATTTATGCTCATGGCCTCTGCTGTCCAGTGGCCCCTGGACACCTGCCTGGGGCGCAGGGCTCCAGTGCAGGCCCGTCTGGTCCGTGGAGCCCCCGTGCTTGCTCTGGGCCGTGGACCAGCTGCTCTTGGGGCTCACCGGGCTCGGGGTAGACGGAGGGGTGGGCGCCCCGGAACCTGCAGGGAAGCGTTCTGCCTCCTCCCGGGACGGACGTGGCACTGCCCACAGCTCCAAGCGTTCTGGAGCCAGCGGCGACTCTCCCCTTCAAAATGAGTGACGGGCGTGGAAGAGCACCCTGAGGCCGTGTGTGGGACGCACACTGTAGCCTGAGGGGTGTGTGATGCTCCACCAAGCTCCAGTGCCCCAGCGGTGGGGGCCACGCGCTCTGCATGTGGAAGCGTCCAGGCGTGGAAGCGTGTGCGCGTGGAAGCGTGGAAGTGTGCACCTACCCTGCTGGGGTGTGTGTCGGGGGCGGGGGGCGACCCAAGATTTCCATCTCCAGTAACTTGCCCCAAATCACCCTAACACTGATGCTGCTACTAGGACTCACCCAGCTCGCTTTTCCCAATCACGTGCCCCTGCTGGACCCCAGGTTGCCCGACTCCCATTTACTAGCAGCTGGGACAGGCCAGGCTTAAGAGCCACGGCAGAGGGCACCCCCCTCGCTCCCCGGGCAGCCGGCTTTCCCTGCACGCCCAGTGAGTCCTGTAAGGCTGGCAGCAGAGCACACAGCGTAGCAGAAGCGTCGACCGTGTGGGCTCTGTGCGTGTTTATTTTACGAATTCTTGTCGCGGAGTGGAAGCCTCTGCCAGCTCCGCTCCGTGGTTAATTGCACGGTGCTGCTTCTGCCGGCTAAGAGGTGTTTGCTTTAAAATGTTTATGAAGAATGTTCTTATCCTGTCTATCTGATTAAAATTCACTCACAACATGCACAATCCAGCTCGACTCGGAGCAGCGCGTGGAAGGGAAGGCAGGGCTGGATGCTGTTTTCACTGCGGAAATAGATTCTCATCCTCCCGCCTGTTTGAACGTGTAATGAGCAGGTCTCTAAGGCAGGCGACAGCGGAGGCGGGTGTGGTGGCCGAGCTGTCACCTTAGAGCCCCACAGCCCTTCATAAGGGAGGTCTAGCTTTTCTCCCTGGATCCCGCCTTCTTCCCGAGTGAGGCCCCCCTGCCCCGCCCTTTGACTTCACTGACCATTAAGCACCCCACCCCCCACCCGCTGCCCCCTTGCCTGTCTCGGGGGTGCCCGCTGACTGCAGAATCACATCCACCCCTCCCTGAGCCCCGGGAGCCACCACTCGCTCAAGGCCGTGGGGGTCCCTGTCCCGCCCAAGCTCTCAGGTCCCTGGCCAGGCACCGCCGTCGCCCTGCCGTGCCAGCTCCTTCATCCTCGCTCCCCTGAGTGCCGGCCACTGGGGCTATTGTGGGTGCACTGGAGCCCCCACGACAGGTTTCAGGGTAACTGCACCTTTCCTCTGTCCCGAAGTATCTCATGGCCAAGGGTGACAGAGCCCAGGGTGCTGTGGCATCACAGGCCAGTCCAGGCGGCGGCCAGGCCCCAGCTCTCCGCCT